AGGTACTTTCCATAGAAAACCCGTGATGGGGTACGAACGCGCACGTCACTGGCTGCAGCAGCACAGTTTCACCACCGTGAGATTTCTCCCTCTCTGATAAATCTGAATTGCTTTTACAGATCCGACTACGTAAAACTACACTGGGTCTTATAGAACAAAGCAAAGATCAGATGAAAGTGAGAAAAACACTTGTAATTTGTGTCGCGCGGTCATAAGGCGTTAGATGTGTTGATGCATCAGTAATAATAATACATACAGTAGGTAAAAAAATAGGAGAATGTGAATTTGACTTTTGATACTTTAAGTACAATTTCTTGAAAATACTTCTGTGAATTAAAAAAAAAAAAAAAAGCAGGCCTGTAACAGGTTACTGACACACTGTTATAATCCGAGGAACAATGTGCGGATCTGAACTCTCACCTCGCTCCAGTCCCGAGCTCCCGTCGTGTTCTTCACACTGCTGTTGGTGAAAAGCTCCTGCAGCCCCTGAGCAGCTGACATGTTGCACTCACAGATCAGTCTGAGAGTAAACCTGCAGACCAGGGTGAGCATCAGACACGCATGCAGCGGCCTGACAGCAGGTTTTACCCTGCAGCTCAGCCCGCGCACCGCATCCACCTGGCCACGCCCACTATAAATCGTCTGATCACGGCCCCCGCGGGCTGGAGTCGGACCAGGACCTGACCTCACGGCTCCGTTACCTTCCCCTTTAGCGCCACCCTCAGGACAAGCAATGATGACTCCTCAGGGCTGCATGTTGTGGCTGTGATGAGCTCTGACAGAAACCTGAGATTTTTGTCTTTGGATTTCCATACGAAAAACATGACAAACTCGTGCACGCACACACTGTCACTTGCAGCTGGAATATTCAGTCATTTGTGTTTTTTTTGGGGCCCGAATTAGTTGAAATCTGGGTTGTTGAGTGGATGCACCTACAAAACAGACTAGGCCTATTCCTGAAATTAACTTATTTGATGTTTTTCTATACATTTTGTATATTACATGGATGATGCTATGGTCAGTTGTAAAGGACTGGCACTGTGCTGGAGTTTTGGGCTTTGGCTTTGTGATGCTGACTGGACATCACTTCTGTTCTCTGATTGGACAACTGTCTGTGCAACGGTGGGATGTTTCCCTAGAGACCTGAGGGGGCAGGAAACACTGTAACTGAGCAGACATCACAGCCGTGAACCAGCTTCCCAAAGCTTCAGCTGGTGTTGGAAGTGTTTCATGTTGAATTTTGGATCTTAGTCTTCTTCACACTGAGTGCAGGACCTTTGACCCAGAATCTGCTGACACTTACTGGGATCTGCTCTTCTCTCTCTGTGTGCAGTGGTTCCTGTGCCATTGAGCACGAACTCGGTAGGTTGCCTAAAGTTTTGCACGACACGACTAGTTAACTTCTTTCTACTTACAAAGTAATGATGACACGACTAGTTTAACTTCTTTCTACTTACAAAGTAATGGTGCATTATTGTCTGAAGAAAGGCTCATGTTTAATGTCTGGTGAAGCTGCTTCTTTTCACATCACAAATCAACAAAACTCTGCCAAACAACTGCAAATATTCCCCTTGGTTTATTTTGTTTGCTTTGACACAAAACCAGAGTTTTGTTCAAACAATAACTGAAATGAATAATCAAATGTTAAAAATGTGCCCTGCCTTATTTTCAATCATCTCATTTTTAGTGAAATATTTATCTAATACAATGCATTTAAAAGTCTTTTACTTCTTCCCTTTGTGCTGTAGGATGTCATATCTGAATGTTTGATGTTCACGCAGCTGAAATGTTAACTCAAACTTCCACTCTGTGCGTGACACCGGAAGCTACAGGTGCAAAGTTTGACCCAGTCCTTCCAGCTGATCCGTCATCCAGTGATTATCCCAATTAACTCACACGTTGTCCTACATGTGTAAAGTTTTCTCTCCATAGAGAAACACTGGATGAAACACTACAGGACCAAGTGCAATCTCATGTTCATGTAAATGACTGAGCTTTGACTCACTTCAGTCTGTGCCTCAGTCACTTTGCTGAATAAGGACCTTTAGCGTTTCAGTGACTCCCACTGTTAGCACATGAAGCTACCACTTTATTAGGTACACCTGTACAATTGTATGCACTTCAATGCAACACTTCCACCTTAACATCTGTGTTTATGAAGCTCAAATGTTTGTTTTTGGCGAAATTGTCAAATGTATAAATTCAATTATATGTTTATTATTGATGGTGTTGTACTGGACTACATTATATTCAGAGGTGTCATAATATTAGGAACACCTCTGAATGGAATGGATACATTTATGTAAAGTGTCACAAATCTTCATACACGTGAGCTGATCCACACGTCAGGCAGGGTTTTCCCTGCAGAGCACCTTAAATCGAATGAACATAAAAGGCCTTTAGGCGACATGTCAGAATGAATGTGTGCTAAAAACATTAGGGAGAATTCTATGCACTGAAAAAAAAAAGACTGTGATGCCAAGTTTCACCCACAAATATTACAAGGATAATGTTCAAAAGAGAGAGAGAGAAATAAAACTAAACTATTTCCTTTGACTAATTTCAAACTCCCCAGGCACCACAACCCCGACCTGGACCACACCTAGGCTCTGTGAAAACTCTGGTGTCAGATGACCGCCATCTGTGAAAAAATGCCAAAGAACTCCACAAATACTTTTACATACATATGTCACAGGATTTTTTTTTTTATAAACCAAAGTTACTAAATTGATCAACTCTAACATTTAAAACACAGATTTTTTGTATTTGTAGCTCATGTTGCACATGTTTGTCACCATTACTGAGACCAACTTCTCTTGTCCTAATGAACCTTCAATATGAGCAATGGAACCAAATCCACCGTTTTCACTCTGCACAAAGGTGTACCGTAAAATCCGGACTATTGAGCGCACCTGACTATAAGCCATGCCCACTAAATTTAAGAAGAAAAAAAAAATTGTACATATATAGGCCGCACTTGTCCATAAGTCGCAGGTGTCCACGTTGTAACATGAGATACAGTGCCTTGCGAAAGTATTCGGCCCCCTTGAACTTTGCGACCTTTTGCCACATTTCAGGCTTCAAACATAAAAATATAAAACTGTAATTTTTTGTGAAGAATCAACAACAAGTGGGACACAATCATGAAGTGGAACGAAATTTATTGGATATTTCAAACTTTTTTAACAAATAAAAAACTGAAAAATTGGGCCATGCAAAATTATTCAGCCCCCTTAAGTTAATACTTTGTAGCACCACCTTTTGCTGCGATTACAGCTGTAAGTCGCTTGGGGTATGTCTCTATCAGTTTTGCACATCAAGAGACTTAAATTTTGCCCATTCCTCCTTGCAAAACAGCTCGAGCTCAGTGAGGTTGGATAGAGAGCGTTTGTGAACAGCAGTTTTCAGTTCTGTCCACAGATTCTCGATTGGATTCAGGTCTGGACTTTGACTTGGCCATTCTAACACCTGGATATGTTTATTTGTGAACCATTCCAATGTAGATTTTGCTTTATGTTTTGGATCAGTGTCTTGTTGGAAGACAAATCTCCGTCCCAGTCTCAGGTCTTTTGCAGACTCCATCAGGTTGCCTTCCAGAATGGTCCTGTATTTGGCTCCATCCATCTTCCCATCAAGTTTAACCATCTTCCCTGTCCCTGCTAAAGAAAAGCAGGCCCAAACCATGATGCTGCCACCACCATGTTTGACAGTGGGGATGGAGTGTTCAGGGTGATGAGCTGTGTTGCTTTTACGCCAAACATAACGTTTTGCATTGTTGCCAAAAAGTTCGATTTTGGTTTCATCTGACCAGAGCACCTTCTTCCACATGTTTGGTGTGTCTCCCAGGTGGCTTGTGGCAAACTTTAAACGACACTTTTTATGGATATCTTTAAGAAATGGCTTTCTTCTTGCCACTCTTCCATAAAGGCCAGATTTGTGCAGTATACGACTGATTGTTGTCCTATGGACAGAGTCTCCCACCTCAGCTGTAGATCTCTGCAGTTCATCCAGAGTGATCATGGGCCTCTTGGCTGCATCTCTGATCAGTCTTCTCCTTGTATGAGCTGAAAGTTTAGAGGGACGGCCAGGTCTTGGTAGATTTGCAGTGGTCTGATACTCCTTCCATTTCAATATTATCACTTGCACAGTGCTCCTTGGGATGTTTAAAGCTTGGGAAATCTTTTTGTATCCAAATCCGGCTTTAAACTTCTCCACAACAGTATCTCGGACCTGCCTGGTGTGTTCCTTGTTCTTCATGATGCTCTCTGCGCTTTAAACAGACCTCTGAGACTATCACAGTGCAGGTGCATTTATACGGAGACTTGATTACACACAGGTGGATTCTATTTATCATCATTAGTCATTTAGGTCAACATTGGATCATTCAGAGATCCTCACTGAACTTCTGGAGAGAGTTTGCTGCACTGAAAGTAAAGGGGCTGAATAATTTTGCACGCCCAATTTTTCAGTTTTTTATTTGTTAAAAAAGTTTGACATATCCAATAAATTTCGTTCCACTTCATGATTATGTCCCACTTGTTGATTCTTCACAAAAAAATAGTTTTATATCTTTATGTTTGAAGCCTGAAATGTGGCAAAAGGTCGCAAAGTTCAAGGGGGCCGAATACTTTCACAAGGCACTGTATTTACACAGAAAGATGTTGCACAGCTTTTGTCGTCTTTTTGGATTGAGTCATCTCTTCACGCCACCGTCTCCAACGTCTCACCATCCATTCATTGATGCCAAGCTTACGTGCAGCAGCTCTATTTCCTTCTTCGACAGCCAGATCGATCGCCTTTAACTTGAAAGCTGCATCATATGCATTTCTTCGTGCGTTTTCAATGATCAGGGTATGTGCATGAAGCGCAAAATGACTGATCTGAAGAATTTAGTGTGAGTGCATTTGATCTAATTCGAACAGTTTCATTGGTCCACTGTGACCTGTTCGGTAATTTCATTGGTCTGATGTGATGAGGCTAAATGTATTGGCGGCACGAAGCTCGTTAGCCTGTAAAAATCCATAAATTAGCCGCATCGTTGTTTAAGCCGCTGGGTTCAAAGCTTGTGAAAAAAGTAGCGGCTTATAGTGCGGATTTTACGGTATCTAAGATTTTCTGTGAAGCTTCAGGACAGCGAGACATGTGGAGCAGACATCTTCCAAAGTTCCAGCCTGTGGAGCTGAACATGGTCCATGTGCATTTGTGCTGAGCTGTAGTGGAGGGATGTTTGTACTGAACAGACTGTAGTATGGAAGATATCTGCTTGATTTAACTCTGCACAAAACAAGCGCAGTGAATTCTATGCTTCATCACTTGGATGAGAAGTGCTTGTGTCCAGTATGAACAGGAGCAATGGTCACCACAAACCAAAGGTGTTCCACTGTTCCTATTATTTTTCAAACAGATTTTAAGGACACTCTGAGGGTGTCTCGGCTTCCTGCGGTCCTGCTCGTGGCAGTGGTGAGTTCGCTGTCTCGTGTTTCTTCATGTGGTTGCGGAAGATCCTGGCTCCGCTCAGGTTCTTCTTGCAGATGCTGCAGAAGTACGGCTGAGCGTCTGAGTGCGTGTCGACGTGATAGGTGAGCTCCAGGGCGCGGCTGAAGCTCTTGCTGCAGAGCGGACACCGGAAGCGGACTCCAGAGTGTGTCAGCTGGTGGGTTTTGAGTGAGCTCTGCTGTTTGAAGGTCTTCTGGCAGATGCCGCACTGGTACGGCCGGGCGTCAGTGTGCAGCCGCTGGTCTGGAGAAGGTGAAGCTCTTGCCACAGTCGGTGCAGGTGTAGGGCTTCTCTCCGGTGTGGATCCTCTGGTGCTCTGTCATGTGGACCTGTTGGGTGAAGCTCTTCCTGCAGGTGGGACACTGGAAAGGGCGTTCACCCGAGTGGATCCGCAGGTGTTTCTGCAGAGCTGACGCTTTGAAGCAGTCACGGCCGCACACTGGACAGCAGTGTTTGCTCTTACCATCGCCACCGCTGTCTGCTGAAAGCTGTGAGCCGCCGCCTGCGTCTCTCACAGGGGCTGATGGGAATCAACAGAAGGTACCAGTGAGTACAAGATGTGTTTGTAAGAAGCACTTTCATACATTTGTCTTGTTCCTACAGAGTGGGATAAAAATAATGCAGCTGCTTGGTTCAGTCTTCAACCCAGTCAAACGTTTACCTATATGTAAAACACAGTTTCAGACGAGCGGCAAAGCTACGTACTGACAGTGACGGGATACACCTCACTAAAACTAATGTGGTCGAACACAGTGACGTGAGGGAAGGGAGTAAGGAAAAAGTAATGAAGAAAACAAGGAAATAAGGGAGTGAAGGAAGCAAGGAAGGAAGTTAGTGAAGTAGTAAGAAAGTGAGGAATAAAGTAAGGACACTTCTTAGTAGAGGAAGTAAGGAAGGAGTGTAGTGAAATTAGAAAGCGAAGGATGAAAGGAGGTGAGTGATGTAAATGAGGAATCTAACATTAAGTAAAAGAAGTTAGTGGAATGAAGGAAAGAAGCACAGACATCAGCAGCCTGTTGTTTCCGCTCTCAGACTGAGCTACAGCAGTTTTCTTTGTAGCAGCTGGAACCAAGGGAAACCTTTACCTCCTTCAGCTTTTTATAACATCAGTTATGTAGGTTACCATGAAAACTGTGGCTCCTGTGATCTAAACTCAATGGACCATCTGTACTTTCAGCTCCTTGATCTTTGGTGTAACTGAGCTGTAAACCAACGGTCCTACTACTGAAACTGGATGACAAACCAATGAGCGCCGGTCTCCAGTCCTCCTCCTCCCCATCAGAGTTGATCAAACCGCTGACATCTCCTTCGTTTCTCTCTCTCTTGCCATGGTTATCAGGCAGAGGTCTGGGTTTAAGGGTGGAGGTGGGAAGGTCCTGGGAGTCCTGGAGGATTATCAGACAGACATGATTAGACTGAGTGTGTCATATGAGTGTAAAATACTTCACACCAGTCTTGAGCTGCTGATGACAGGATGTCAACAAGCTGTAGAGCTGGAAATGTTTGCCATCACCGCTATCCATTCCAAATGCAGCATGTGCATGTTCTGTACTAGTTTTCCTTTTTTTAAAAAACACAAACAAGCTTCATTTAAAAGCAACACTTTGCTGCCACAGCTACATTTCTCACCTGTTCATCCAGACCTTCCTCCTCCTCCCTCTTCACAACCACCTCCTCTCCCTTGTCATCCAAAGTTTTCTCATTGAGCCAGAACTCCTGTAACAGACCGGGTGTTGTCATCAGTTTATCCACTGCTTCAGCTGCTTTTAAAACTAACTGGATGCATAAAAGGACATAGGTGAGTATGGAAGTAGTGGTACAGTAGTAGTAGTAATAGAAGAAGGAAAAGAAGTGGTAGTAGTAGTAGAAATAAAACAGTAGAAGAGGAAAAACTAGAAAATGCAAGCTGATCACAAACAGAAACCTGCTGTAAACACTGAACTCTCTTGACCCAGAATCCTTTTCCAAGTGTGCTGACTTCTTGCCTCTCACCTTGTCGGCAGGAGTGGCGAGGAGTCCGTCCCTGATGTGGGTCCTCATGTGTTTGCGGAGCAGGCAGGGCTTCAGGAAGCTCTTGGGACAGATGCTGCAGGGGTGAGGTCTGTCAGCCAGGTGGACTTTCTGGTGCGCTCTCAGGCCTGAGGCGGAGGTGAAGGTTTTCCCACACACTGAGCAGTTGCGCTGCTTCTCAGTCGTGTGGATCTTACAGTGCTCCCTGAGTCTGGACCGGCTCGGGTAGCTCTGCCCACAGACAGAGCAGATGAGAAGCTTCTTCAGACCAGTGGGGCCCCGGTCTGCAGGGTAGAGAGGAAACAGATCAGCAGGACTTGGTTCCTTTATGGGTGTTGGAGCAGCAGCTTTTCTGCTTCACATCACTGGCTACGTAGCAGCATGGCTAAACAAAACAACAGAAACTCCCGGGCTGGAGACGCGAATGAAGCCGCTCACGTCGACTAGTCACAACAAGGCAGTATCATACACGCCTACAACACTTCCCCCTGCAACCCCTCACCCCTGACCAACGCAGCCCTGTGCATTAAAACACAGCAGCGAGTTACGTTTTCACCGGATCAGTGTGAACGCCCACTTACTAAGACACTTTATGTAATAGCTTCAGCCTGCGAAATCTCATGAACTGTTGCGTGTCCAGAGTTTCTTACCAGGCAGCGAATGGCCCACTTCCTCTCCTTCGTTAGTGCTTTTGTACTCGACCCTCAGCTCCTGCAGCCTGTTCACACCATCACTCCCCAGCGATGTGTTGCAGTCTGCTTCCTGAAACACAGACCAGCGGCGACATGAGCTGAACTCTTTTTAATATGATCCCTGATCGCATCATTGTATCCCTGACCTGCAGTTATTTTTTAATCTGTTATTAAACCCATGCCAATGACCAGTTTAATTTGGTTTCTTTGGTCATCTATTTCTTGTGCTGAGTCGAGACCTGCTGCAGGCCTGTAAACCTCACTAGGAAAATGTTGTGATGTTATACAAAAGTTAGACAGGAGAGAGACTGAAAACCTGGGACTGGCATGAAATATACATTAGAAAATAATTCTGGAGATTAACTTGTGCACAATTTAGTTCACTATTTGCACAGTAGAATTTAAGGTAAAAAAAACATCTGATAAATTATGACAAATGAATACACAAGGTGCCCAAGGTGTTGTCACGTTTTGTTATGTTCAACTGTTTGAAACCCAAACACATTCAGTTTACAATGATACAAACCTGGAAAAAAAGCAGCTAGTCCTCAGACTTTAGCTGTAAGCTGCAAATCCTACAATTTCTGCTTGAAAAGTAAATCAAATGACTATTCCATTATCAACACAGATGCCCATCCATTTTCTGTTTAACAGGCTAATTGTTCCAGCCTTATTGTGCAGCTCACCTGTGCAGAGTCGTCGTCCGGCGTCATGGTGAGGCTGTGCTTCCCCCGGCGGTGGATCTCCCGGTGTTTCCTCAACACTCCCTGCACAGAGAACCTTTTCTTGCAGACGTCGCACTGAAACGGCCTCTCTCCAGTGTGAGACCTCGTGTGCTCCCTCAGCCGGGATGCTCTGGTGAAGCCTCGGCCACAGATATCGCACACAAATCGCAGTGCCCTCTGGTGGAGCTGGCTGTGCTGCTGCAGCTTCTCAGCGGTGGAGAAACATTTGTGGCACAGGGGGCAGGCGTGAGGTGTTTCCTCCTGCTGTTGAAGACAACAAGTGTTTCTTATGTCTCTTATATGATTGTGCTCCCTTCATTCTCGCTCGACCTGGAATTCGTTCTGGTCGACTGATGAGCAAGGATGTTCCTAAACTCTTATAACAGCAGCAGTGAGAAGGATGCTGGAGGAGCCACAAGCAAGGATACATGAGACCATCCCTCACAGAAGGGTTTTATGCACTGATACACCCCTTTAATGTGTTTGAGTCATCTCTCCTTGGTTTTTTTTGGGCGGGGCTAAGGCGCAAGGAACAGATGCCAGTGAGGAAACCAACAGCCCATATAAGACATTTGAGAAACACCCATGGGTAGATTTAGGAACAAAGGAGCAAAATGACACCATGTTTTAGCTTGAATACGCCACCTTCAGTCAATAAATGCATTTTACACCCTGCAGCCCTGATCAGCAGTGGGTCTGTCTCTGAACCTGGGGCACAAGTAGGGGACAACCTATTATAGCTGGTAGACAACAGTGGAGGTCTATGGCACAGAGCGAGAGCTGAGTCAGGGTTTGGACTCGCACACAGTGAGGACACCACATTCACTGGTGCCGTTGTCTTTTTGTGCACCCACTACAGTAAGGAGAAGCACAAATGGATGAGAAACAAAGTTTCTCTAAACACAAACAAGAATCCTGATTTTTGAAACTGGCACTCACCCCATTTCCAGCATCTTCAGTTTTAACCACATGTTGCTCCTCTGCATGTTTCTCCAGATGTTTTCTCAGCAGACCTGGCCGGTTGAAGCTCTTGCAGCACAGTGAGCAGGGGTGTGGTTTCTGTCCCGTGTGGAGCCTGACATGATCCCTGAAGGAGGATGGCGTGGAGAAGACCTTCTCACAGATGGAGCAGGAGTACAGGTTCTCCTCTTTATGAGTTTTCTGGTGATCGGTGAGTCCCGATCTGGAGGCGAACCGTTTGGGGCAGAGGGAGCAGGAGAATGGCCTCTCCCCAGTGTGCGTCCGTTCGTGCTGGATGAGATAGCGCCGCTGAATGAATCCTCGACCACAAACTGAGCAGTGGTGGGGCTTCTCGGCGGCGTGCTGGAGCCGGTGCCTCCGAAGGCAGCCCAACTGGGCATAGCTGACCCCACAGTCTGGGCAGGAGTATGGCTTCTCACCAGTGTGTACCCGCTGATGCACTGTCATGTTTATCTTCTTTGTGAAGCGCTTCCCACACACAGAGCAGCTGTATGGTTTGTCACCCGAGTGCATGAACATGTGGTCCGCCAGCCGAGATGGACGGGAAAACTCCCTGCCACACACTGAACAGCAGTGACGGCATTTTGACTGACGGCTTTTTTGTTTTAGTGCAGGTTCTTCTGTTGTAGATGGCGTCTCCATGTCTGGAACAGTTCCCTCTCCTGCAGGAAGTGATACTGACATTAATATGTGGTATACATTATCATGACAAGGAAAACCATCAATTTCTCACATTAAAAAAGGCGGAACCTGGTTTGGGAGGAGCATTCTACGGGACTGACACATTTACCCTATTTACCTTAGTCAGCTAATGCTAGCCTCAGACTGAAGGCTGCATTTTGTACAGTTTGTCCCATTCATGCATCTGTAGTTCACATCACAAAGAGTAATAAGGGGTGGTTTGTTTTGACCATTGTTAAAAGAAAAAAAAAGGTTTCAGACAGCTTATCTAATCAGCAAGAGCACTTGTGAAGATGGAAACCTGTGCTCACATCCTTATACACTTTGTTGCACATGAAACCACACTGATGTATTTGAATAGTGGGGTGCAGTTCATGATCCCTGACCTTGAACCTCTTCTGTTTGCTCTGCTTCTACTTTCACTCCATCCATCTCATCATCCTCCGCTGCTTCTCGGGGTGGACAGGTGTCCTCCAGACCTCTGAAACAAAGACAGACACAACCAGAAATCAGTCAGCATGTGACACGCATGTCCCGATCAGAGCTGTAGCTACACTTGATGTGCATAGTATTTGTTAGGGGACATAACACTGTGGGACACTTACATTCAAAGTGTCACAGGAACAAAACCCACAGATGCTTCAGCTCTGCCTTCTCTAATGTGCAACAGACCTTCAGCTTAGTGGTAGAGACGAATGAAATTTTCCACACGTAAAATGGTAAATGGTCTTGTACTTGTACAGCGTTTTTCTATGCACTGCAGCATATTCAAATCCCTTTACGCACCGATGTCATCACCGGGAACAACTGGGGTTCAAAGTCTTTCTAAAGGACACTTCGACATGTGAACTGGACAAGCAGGGAATCGAACCTAGCAGGGAACTTTCCGGTTAGGAGATGACCCGCTCCTTAATATAGAGGGAAAAGCCAACAAATCCCTCTTGAGCAAGTGTATCGTCACACCGATAGCTATTAATTAACGTTAGTTTGATATTCAAAAATACCTGTTTTGTCATTTTTAAAGCAAAAATACTAAATATTTGCTGATGACCTTGGATGCAACCCCTGCTGCGTTCATTCGTTTGCATTATGCATTAATGTATCACATTAGATCATTAATTATCACGTCTGCTATAACTTAAGTGATTTTAGCTAGTAACATATGCCATTAATCAGTTTACAGCGACTCAGCCAATCACTGACGAGACACAATGTTAGATATTTAGCTAACAAATCCCTCTGAAGCTAACCGTTATCTTGTGAATTGTAAACTTAAACGTTAACCGAAATACAAACACGTAGTGTTACCGCAGTTTTCTGTAGTGGTGAGGCAAACAAAGACGCATTTAGGAGGAAATGACATTAGCTAACATAATTCTAGCTAATGTAGTTCTATCGTGAATGTCTGCAGCTAACGTTTGCTAGCTCTGAATCAGAAATCCTACTCCACAGCATGGTCCTGGATGGTTGCCCCTACGAAAACACATCTTTCTGTCGTGTAGTGGTAACGTTGCATATCCAATAAACACTGAAAATACGAATCAGAGAAGAAAAGCATAGCTTATTGACGACCAGCTGGGTGAGTTCACGTTTATTTTAGAGGCATTTAAATAATAAAACCCCCACAACTTACTCAAATAAAGTACAGGCGAATTCCATTTAAAATTAAACATAGACGAGATTACACGTCTTCCTCGGTGTGAAGGTCCTCAGCTCTACGATCGGTGCTGCCTCTGCTGGCCGGAGGAGGTACTGCGACATCTCTGAGCTGCTCAGTCCAACACAGTTTTACAGACGAAGACCTACATGTTGACATATGATGATATTATATTTAACGGCTTTAAAAGACTTGTGTTCCTCCAAATGTAAGCTAAATACCACTGCCATTCACTGTCAACTACAGGGATAACAGTGGACCTGTCCCAGCTCTGAGAAAATGGCGAAGAAGATGCTGCGCTCCACAATGAACTTGCACAAGCTAATTAGAGTAGGTGAGATTTGTGTGGTATTGGACGTGTTTTCAAACTGTAATGGTTTATCTCATCTTTAACAGATGCTGACTAAGGCTCTAAATCTTACAATGGGATTAATTCGGGTATGAAAAGTCTCAAACAGGCTATAAAAGCGAATTCATCAATTAAATATTCCGTGTTGCACTTAAACTGGACCTTTAAGTTGTTTTAAGGCAAAACAATGGTAATCTAAAATTGACTAGCATAATTTGTGAAACAAGTGATTATGTTAATGAGATGACAGAAAAGTTTAACTTTTAGAAAGCCGTAATTTTCCGCCTTTTTACGGCCAAGCCAGGGCTGATGATTTAGTAGCGGGGTTTCTCCTGCTGGTGGCCGCTGGGTGGAATTTCCTGTACAACATGTTCAGCCAACACTCCACCCCTGAGCTGGACTGACTGCGTTTTTCCTCTGTGTGTGATTTGGTTTTCTACTATGCGAGCATCAGCTCTCTGCCAACTTTCATCTGTCTGTCAGGAATAAAAACCTAACTGTAGCAGACACAGTCAGTTTATTAGGAACAGCTGCCTCAGACTGAGTCAGTCTACCCCAACAGCGTTGCAGTAAATTCTCCTCCATGAAGGTGATAATGTTCACTTTTTGTTCAGAATGTTTCACAGAGGTGTTGGTTCACCTGTGTCATCACTGTGGAAGCTGCAGGTTGTGCTGCTGTTCTGCGGGACTGCGTTATACTGAGAGCTGGCTCTGGTGTTCGGACACCCTGCCAGTATAACACACAGTGCATTTCAGCAGCACAAACTCCAACCTTCAAAATGATCGTACAGTTGAACATATATACTCTCACCAGCCTGCACACTATGTTCCCACAATAGAAAACAAAGACACACACACACACAGAGCAACACACCAGCTGATGGAGCCAAAAAGTGTTGGCTGCAGATGAACATTTACATCATACAGAGGAAATGACACTGGTTCCCAGAGAGAGTCCACTGAGGCTGACAGCAGGATCAGCCTCAGCTACTAAATCTTCAACATTACGGATACTGGCAATAAGAAGGTCAGAGGTGATGGCATCTTTGCGCGTAAAGATGAAATGTTTGTCATTTAATGCAGTGACTGATTGAAAATTAACTAACAATCATATTTTTAAAGCAAACATTTCTTGTACAGCTTCATGTTTTTCAACATTTGCTTATTTTGTCAGTCTCCTATCATACTGAAGTGAGTATTTTTTTTGGTCTGGAAAATTTGGATGGCGATTTTTCAATATTTTAGAGGAGACAGACCAAAATAGAATTACTTGTCCTGACAATGCACTGTATATATATGTAATAATATACTACTTAGTGTCTATATTTTTGCCCTCCAGATTTCCATACGTGAAGGTATCACAGTATTAGGAACACCTCTGAATATAATGCAGCCCAGAACAATGGCATCTTAACTAAGACCTGAATAATACAGTATGTTGTGGCAGGGCTCTTGTATTCAGTCGTACAGGTGTACCTAATAAAGTGCTTGTTGAGTGTATATTTAATATGTGATAATATATATGATGTACAGTATACATTCCTGTGGTAGCAGTATATACAGACACATTAAGTGAGAAAAACAGTAGATAAATGAATAACAAAAGTAATAGCAGGTTGCAACCCTAAAATAATGCAGCACTGGGGACTAACAAGACTGACTGTATAAAATGCATCTAACAGCCTCAGTGCCAACAAATGTATTTATCCACCCACAGAGTCCTGAGTTTGTCCTAAGAGTGGTGCTGGAGGAAAGACTGTGGGTCTCATTCAGACCTAAAGAGGTCTTTTTGTGGTATTGGGTCTGGTCCAGATCAGGATATTATAATATCTGCTGGACAGGATGAAACAGCAGCACCGTCCAAAAACGACCGAGTTCTGTTGTAACTACGGTCTGCAAAGTGCAGTTAAGCTGCCAAAACACACAGTAATCTGCCTTTTACTCATTAAATCGTATCAGTCTGCTGATAGTGGGCAGCAACAGGACCTGCACAGACAGAGAAGGGAAGGATGTGAGAAATGTTCCAGCTACGTTCAAACATTAGTGAAGCTTTCTATAGTATAATGCTGTACATTCATGTTGTCATGCATGTTATGCTTAATCTTCATTGAGCTTCCGATTTGTGTTTTAATGATAAAGCTACACATAAGCATTATATTCATCATCAGCTAATCTCATGATTAATTTCAGTTAATAATTTTGTCAGAAAATAGTGAAAAGCGGCTTAAGGTCACATAATCAGTTGTGCCTCTCTTCATTGAAATCCAGCAGGCTGCTCTGCCTTTTTAAAATGTCTTCTGTATTTCCCCAAGTCAAAGAAGCAGAAAATCCTCACAGTGGAGAAGCTTGAACAAGATAAGTTGTGATATTTTTGTTCAATACATGTCCTAAATTTTAATGAACTCATTATCTCAGTCTGAGCTTTTCATGTTAAATCTCTCTAACTTTAATAAGTTCACTATGATTTGGTGGTAACATCTAGAGCTGCAACTATGGAGATAAAATACTATCAAAAATGTTACAAATGCGTGTTTAACGTTTTGTCTGTAACACGCGATTTGTGTGTATGTGTGTCATGAGGATCACAAATGCGTGCTGTACAAACTGCACATAAATCACATTTTACAAATGCTTAAAATCGATTTTTTGTGTGCAGATCTTTAGAAAGTACGTACACATTGTTACCTACGTTGTGTAAATACCTTTGTTTGGGAAACAGGTTTGGAAACTCAGATGTCCGAGTTTTCCACCGTGCATTCGTGGATCGTGGACTTTTGAGAGTGCGGAAAAACACTCTCAAAAATCCGTGTGTGCGCGGAAGGTGATTCGTGTGTATTAGACGATCTACGCATGCGTAGGTAACAATGTGTACGTACTTTCTAAAGAACTGCACACAAAAAATCGATTTTAAGCATTTGTAAAATGTGATTTATGTGCAGTTTGTACAGCATGCATTTGTGAACAGCATGACACACACACACATAAATGACTTTATACGTGCAGATTGCGCAGCACACATTTGTGATCCTCATGACACACACACACACACACATCGCTTGTTACAGACAAAACGTTAAACACGCATTTGTAACATTTTTGTTAGTATTTTGTCTCCACGTTTAAACACGCATTTGTAACATTTTTGATAGTATTTTATCTCCATATGCAACAGACAGCAGCTAAAAAATGTATGAGAGCAAAGATGCAGAAATTGCAAAGTACTAGAACCTACATGTGCACATGTACAGCAAATAACTCAGTGCACTTTGTTACTTTACACGTCTAGTGTTCGGATCTGGCATTTGTCTTTTGAAGAAGCAGTTTAGTCTGATTGTAGGACAAGGACCACCCACATCTTGATTCATGCAGTGTGAGAAATGATATGGAAAATAAACCAAATATGGTGATGTACTGTAGACTGTTGCAGTTGTTTGTGCATAGTTTTAGTTCATTAACTCCAAATCAGACTGAATGACTGTTTCTGCATCATAGAATTTTCTTTTTTCTTCTTTTTCTTTCCAGGACAATGTTGGAGAAACATGATCTCCCTTTAACATGGTGTCCCATAGGTTTTATGTCAGCAGACAGCTAAGCTAGTTTATTTTAGCGAGAGCTGAGCAGCAGAGACAGCCTCCTCTAACAACCAGTGCAAATAGCTCTCCCACCATTTTCAGACCCTCTGACTCCCTTTGTCTGTCTGTATTTTGTGGCCAGTAGTACTAGAGGCCAGGGCTATGCCATCTAGAGTAACTACGTGATTAGACAGCTTACTTCTGAGGTCTTTAGGGCCAAGTACATTAAGTACAGTTTTGTCTGAGTTTAGAAGTAAGAACTTACAGGCCATACAGGCCTTTTTGTCTTTAAGACATGCTTGACGTTTGACCCACAGATCTGATTCATCTCGGCTCATAGATAAATATAACTGAGCATCATCTGTGTAGCAATGGAAATTTATGCTGTTTCCCTTGATAATATTTCCTAAGGGGACCATGTATAAAGTGAAGAGAACTGGCCCTAGCACAGAGCCCTTGCACCCACAGGCACTTGAACAGATGTTGTTAAAATTGTTTATATCACGTTATTTAAAAAAGTAAACTGATATGTCCATTGTTTTCACTCTGGCCAGTAGCGAGAGCTGCAACACCCTCAGCACCCCCATATGGCACTAATTGCCAACACTCTGATACTGTATATCTGTTACATGATGATATTTGGTGATATATGGGCTCAGCACATGTCTTGTTCTGCCTTTAGACTGGACATACTTGGAAAATCTTGCTTCACATACTGGCCTCAAACAGACTTTGCCCTACAAACATAACCCATTGAAGTCATCTTCTGGGACTCTTTTTTTCCTCACAGTGATCTGAGTTGTCATTAAACAAGAAGTCCCAAAGTTTCAGCTCTGTGTTTGGCAGAAACACGCTGCCTTTGAGAACAGGCCAACGTAATGCTCCTGGAGTCCTCTGATTGGGCTGGTGTAACAAGCTTGCCTGGCCTGCTGTCTGTAGAAGAACTTGGCCTCAGAGATGGTTTTTACTGATTAAGAACAGATTCTCTACTTAGGGAAATGTTTCCTGAAATTCACTGAGTGCCCTTTCTTGGTCTCAGGTTTCCACATGCAGCCCAGGATTTACACTCTGTCCTGCCACAACAGGACTAAACTGTACCAATCACTTCTAACCAGACTGACAGTTGTGGAGCCTTGTTAACAGCTCCACAGCAGCTCTCAGACCCAGCAGTGATTTGAGCTAAATTCTCAGTGCTAAATGTATAAATAGGGATGAAATAACGGGGAATTGTCTAAAATGGAAACAATTCTGCTGTTGGTAGATGAGGTGAAGCTGCAGAAGTTTGTTAAACTGGTTCAGAGTAGGTCCTCCACATGTAAAGTGGCACTGAAGTTGCAGAGGTTTGTTAGACTGGTTTAGAGTAGGTCCTCCACATGTAAAGTGGCATGAAAAGAATCAAGTAAAGTACCCGTA